AGAGATATGTATCTATGCTTAAATAAGAAAACGTAACTCAATAAGCTCAATAAGCTTATTTCAGATGGCAATGGGTTTTTCTTTCTTTTTAAATGAAAACACAATTATTTAAAATGTGAGCATCATTCTATTTCATTAATACTGGCCTCAAAGCAGAATTTATTTTTCTTCCTTCAGTTCTGCCAGGGACTGAGATAATTGGGGACATTTGTTAATGGTTTAGGCAATACACTTCAGATACTCCAAGAATTTAGCATAATGAAGTTTAGTTGATTAATTTACATTAATTTTCTTCATATCTAGTGTTCTTTTAAAAAATTGGGAAAATTCACAATCTGTGTGCTTTATCAGTGAGTGTGTAACTTTATGCTTACTGATATAAGAGGCTTTCTTTTTTTAATAAACCAACAGAGGCTGTGGTTAATAGTCATAGATGAAGTACTTTCTTAGAGAGTGCCATGAGACTGAAGCAGTTGCCTACAAACGATTTAAAACAAATCATCATGAGAATCTATATAATATACCCAGGGATGTGATTTGATCCACATCAGAATCTAATCCATAAATAAGAGATTCCTCATAGAAAACTTACTGTACCCCCTTTCCAGAATTAGAATTATGTTACCACAGACTTGTTTTCAAATGAAAGTGATCAAAAGGTATTGAAGAATGTTAGGTGTATGTCAGTGTCTCCTTCTATCCCTCTGAGAAAACAATTAATTATTTTCTCCCTTAAGTACAGGGACCAAGGTAATGCCTTAGTACAGGTAAGGCAAGAGCTCTACCACTAAGCTAAATTCCCGTCACAGTAGGATTTAATGCAAATGTCCATCAACACCAAACTGGAGCTTGGACTACCCACTAACGTTCCCACTAGTCAAGAGTGATAAAATCACATCACACAGCAAAAGAAAAATTCACCCTAGAAAATATAACCTTAGCCATAAGCTAAAAGCGGCTGCTGCTAAAGGTTGTATCACATGTGCTTGATAAATATCATATTACTAAAATTATATGTCCCTATAAAGTAGATTATGTTGCCAGCATAGGTGAATATCAGTTTGGTATGAATAAATCCAGATTTGGAAGGTGGAGAGCTTCTTTAGTACTCTCTACATAGCTCATAAAAATCTACACCATCTTAAGGTATCTACCTTGCTAATGATGGCATCGCTTTCAAAACGCATGGTGTCCTCTCACGGTCATGTAACGCAGGGTTTCTCAACCTGTGGATCACAACCCCCTTGGGGCCAACATGTAGGGAACACATCACATATCCTGTGTATCAGATATAATTTTATGTTTGTTTGTTACCACAACATGAGGAACTGTGTTAAAGTTCACGTCATTAGAAATGAACCGGTGAAAGTTCATTTATTGCAAAGCCTTCACAAAATTCTATGGGAGTGTGCTGAATACAGTTGTCTCATATTTCAGATGAGGACTTAAGAGAATTGTTTTCTTAGAGTCTGAGTTGTTTTTTTTCTTTTCCAATCCTTTCTCCTAAACTTTACATCATACTACACATAAGGGCTCGTATCCATAAAATGCTAAATTCAAGTATGTTCACCAGAGGAAGACAGATATTATTGCCTTTTTTAATTCAGTGTGGTAGATGTAATGTAAACGCTGATTGCTTTGATACTGACTTCTGGTTCTGAAAGTACCTGGCCACTCAAATGATCACAACCTACAATTCTTTGAACAACTGTTAGCTAAGCACGTATATCCAAATCAGAACAAGAGCTTCTTAACAAGACCATATAATTCTGGGATTCTTTATTGCTGTTCCACGCAAGGGATATTGTTATAGTAATGTTCCTAGCAAACTGGAATTCTATCTGAGGGTTTAAGTTCTGAAGTCTAAAAATGATCAAAAGCACTGTTTTTTTTTGAGATTAGATAAAACCAAGGTCAACCTTTTGAATGTCCTTATTCCTGACCTGAGCCTGGCTTCTGGCTTTTCCATTTTCAGCTCAGCACCAGTGCAGCCCAAGACACACCCTCACTGAGGAGCTTCTGCAATGCCACAATAGTGAGTTGTTGCTGACACAGCCATCAGTCTTATTCTGTGGAGTATTTCTTTCACTCTTTCGCTGATGCCATTATGAAAAATAATGCTGGCACAGCCATACTGACACTTGACATCCTTTCTTATTTATGTGGCTAACTTATTCTGGAAATTTTATTTTCACAGAAGATATTAATGTTTTATGGAGGGCCAATCTAAACATAGACTTCCTTACTGTGGGTTTTGTGAGTTTTGCATATTGGAGTATTTCATAAAATTAAAAACCTCAGCTCCTAAAAATAAAATGCTACCAAAGATCAGAAAGTACTTGCACTTACTGGTTAAAACTGAAAATGAAAAGTATCTGTTCCTACTCATTATCAGTCACCGTATTAATGGTAATGGAGCTTTCTTTCAATTCTCAGTTGGATAGGGTGAGTTTTTGATTCCCTGTAATTGTGTCATTATTAATTTGCAAGTCGTTATTATGTATTGACTCACAATAAATAAAATTTTAAATTTTAATATCTCAAGGTTCCTGTGTTTCTAGAATATAATCAATAAAAGGACAATGGTCTCAAAAATGTCATATATATTTTATGTTCATTTTCAAAACCTCTTGGAAAATCTTCTGCATTAACACTTAGTATTTATAATTTAGCTCATAAACCACACAAAAACATTTCAAGACAAAAATTTAAGAGCAATAAAACTGAGGCTATGGAATCATGCTTAAAAACCATCAAAATCTCTCTGTTTTCAGCCCACGTACAATTCTGCTGATTATTTTTTAATCTAAGATGTACATTTCATAATGATGAATAGAGAGGATTTTATTACAAGCAGTTGAACAAGCTTTTTTTTTTTAAAAAAAAAAGCCTTACCTATATGGGTGACATGTCATTTGTAATAAGAACATATTTTAATATTGAGACATAATGAAATTATAAATTGGTAATAATCCAGCATGTAATGAAATGTTCAAAGCTGGTTTAAAGTCATCTAAAATACAAAAGAGATTTCTTGAGATGTTTTAATAATCTCACATATTTAAGCTTTTAAGGTTCACATTTGTTAATGAATGCTTCTCATAATACTATACAATAGTGGTAACTTTAATTCAAAGTTCTTTAAAGAGCATTGTCTTTATTTACCCACTTCTTTATTTTCAGTTTTGAAGATCAAACAAAAGGCCTAGTACCTTCTAGGCAAGCATGCTACCACCTAGCTGCATGATATGCACTGATTCTACCATGAAACCACAACCGAACCCTAACTGCAGTACTAATTTATCTCCATGTTATAATGAAATGTTTCAAATAACGTTATTTTTCATTGTACCATAAATACACAACTAGACACACTAACTTGCTGCATATGTAAAGTATGAGAGAAGTGCTTGTATATACCCATTGACACGGTGCTACTATTGTAAATTTTTCCCTAAGAAGTTAACCTTTTTTTTTTTTCTCAACAGGAGCCAGCTGACTTTGTGGTAAAAAATGTACTGCTTTCAGATAATTTTAGAGTTAATCATGGTCTCCATGCTTATAGACAAAAGAATGACAATTAGACAATTATCCACTGTTATTGAAGGAAAGGTCACAAGAGAACATGTATGAGAACATGAAGTCAAAATGACTACTGATCCTGCCATTCATAACAACGTGAGTGGACCATGACATTATGCTAAGTGAAACAAACCACGTACAGGTTAATGCTTCACAGTGTAACGTGTGAGCAAAATCTAAAGCAGTGGAATTTATGGAATTAAGAGTTTGAGATTGGGCAGAGGCAGAGGGGAAGAGGAAAGAAGGCATTAGAAAAGAGCACATGGTTTCTTTGAGTTATAAAAACAAGTAAGTCAAAGAGTAAGTCATGGGATTGATGGTACATCACTATGCCTTCAGCTGGCCATAGGTTCCCCACTAACAATTTGCTAAATGAGTAAGTCTTATGTTAACTGCATTCATCTCAAAATAGCATAATGACTGTAAAAATCCTTTCCGAAGTGATAAATATGTCTATGGGATATATCAAAGAAATAATTTCATTAATGTAAAATAAATTCCAACATAAGACTATTGTTTATAGTGAATGTGCGGAGATTTCTGTGGTGATAGATGCAAATATATATGTATTTGAATATCTAAGTATAGGTATAGGAATATCATAAATTAAGTTTGAGCTTCTAAAATTTAAATGTTGACACAGTGAAAGTTTTACTCAATGTACTCATTCCAATTAAAATAAGTTTCAATTTTATCTTAATATTGAGCTCGAAAACAATATATGCTGTAGGTTCTATATAATAACAACATTGTCAACTATAGATAAATGGAAACTTATCTATGAAGAAAGCCTGAGGTAAAAAGACATAAAACAAGAGTATCATCTGTTTATTCTGCCGAGATTTAAAACATCACAGCTTGAAGCCAAAGAATCTTATTCTTTGAAGAACCAGAATTCGTATTCTGGGTTCATAGTTATGAACATTACTAGAACATACAGATAACATGTACAATACTATATGTGAAGTTTCAGATATCTTATAAAGTTACCAAATTCTAAAATGTAGAAATGATACATCATAATATTTTATCTGATCAGTATATTTCATGTCTTGGAAGCAATATTGTCTCCTTATTTTTCTTTATTTTAAAATACTCTTTACACCTAAAGTATCACTTAACAATTACAGCAAACTCTCTTTTAAAGGATAATTCTAAAATGTTTCCATTTAGATACATTGTAATATTTTGAAGTCAATATATAACAAGTAGGATTTTATTTAATTTCAGTTTTTGAAATTAAGGTAACTTTTGAAACTCTTACATTTCAATTCTGGCTAGTTTTCCTTTATTTGCAAAAGACTTCATTCGTGTACTGACTGGTGTTTTCAGGTACCTCTAATGGTGGCATAAACTCAGTGCACAGCGCCTTACCCTTTCCCTGGAAATTCCATACAATTAGAGAAAAGGACACTTACCATGTTCCAGGCAGGGTAGAGGTAGTCTGTACCCACAAATTCAAAGTAGTGAGCAAAGCCTTCCTTCAACCACACATCTTCCCACCACACTGGAGTCACAAGGTCACCAAACCACTGCAAGGAGAAAAGGAATAGATATCAGGAAAAAGAAAAAAAGAAAGAAAAGAAAAAGCAACATCTATCTCAGAGTGATTTTATCTCAAAGTGAATGGACTAAATTGTGATTATTCTAACTGGAAGTCATTCCCAAATTGATTCTGTGTGATCTGAAAATGTATTATGGCAAGATTGTAGTGATTAACATATCTTCTTGCATAACACTAGTCTTCTTAAGGCTATCCAATGACCAGCTGGCCCACCTTGAGATCCATTTCATGGGGGCAGAAGGAGGGAGTGCAAACCCTGACACTGTTTCTGATGCTATGCTGTGCTTGTAGACAGGAGCCTAGCACAGCTATCCTCTGAGAGACTCTACCAGAAGCTGACTTAGTCAGATGTAGATACTTACAGTCAACCACTGGACTGAGGTCAGGGACCCCTATGGAAGAGTTAGGAAGATTGAAGGAACTGAAGGAGATGGCAACTCCATAGGGAGACCAACAGTCTCAACTAACCTGGACCCCTAGGAACTCTCAGAGACTGAGCCGCCAATCACAGAGCATACAAAGGCTGGTCTGAGACACCCAAACAGGCACATATGTAGCAGAGGACTTGCCCTGCCTCAGTTGGAGAGGATGTGCCTAAACCTGTAGAGACTTGAGGCCCTACGGAAAGGGGGTCTCTGGGGGGATCACCTTCTCAGAGGCAAAGGGGAGACAGAATGGGATGAAGAACTGTGGGAGGAGGAACCAGGAAAGGGGGCAACATCTGGAACATCCATAAATATAATAATTAATTTTTTAAAAGATGTATTTATTTATTTTATGCATATGAGTGCTCTAGCTGCATATAAACCTGCATGCATGAAGAGGGCATCAGGTCATATTGTAGATGATTGTGAGCTACATATGGTTGCTGGGAATTGAATTCAGGGCCTCTAGCAGTGAACTCAAGGTCTGTTATCCACTGAGCCATCTCTCCAGCCTCTAACACTAGTATTTTATGAATGTGCTCAGTGGGGAACAAAATAACAGTCCAGGAACCCAATGTGAATACTTAAGTTGGTGTAGAAATGATTCAGGAATCACATCTGGAGACAACTGACTTCAGGGATCAAAGGGCCTGTTGTATAGAAGAAAAGACTTGATCCTTGAGTGGAAATTCAGAATAGACCATGTCTGCTGAAGATGTAAAAAAGAAAAAAAAACCTCTAGCTGGTGGTCCAAAAGTGTTGCCTAGGGAGATGGTGAGCAGCTCATTTCGAGATAATGAAGGCTGTCTCTTGACTCAGAACCCACATTGACTAATGAATCCAACCGAAGGTTCTGAAGATCCTCTGTGCTAGCTCCATGATAAACAGAAACTGAGCCAGTAAACTCTGATGAAATCTGATATGCAAAGGTTTTAACGGTGTTTTGATTAATTAACAATATACTACTCCGGAACATTTTTTTTTTAACAAAAATACATTACGAGCCATGAACATTCAAAAAGACTTGAAATCCAATGAAGAAATCGGGGAATGTGCATTTTCATACAGGTGACAATTATTATGCCTGATAAATAATGTAAAAGATAACCAGGAACAGCATAATTTCAAATCTTCACAAGGTAGACGGATGGAGATGGAACTACTTATAATTGTAGAAGGAAAATCATTCTCTACACGGTTGATAATTGAGCTGGAACATTTCATAATGAGTCAGCCATGAGATAGCCCTGGGCAAGAAGATTCCTGGCAGACAGCAGATGTGACGAAGGCACAGTGTGGGATTCTGTGTGGGAATATGCTCTTTGAGAAACAGAGATATGGAATGCTGAACTCTGACTGACCAGTCAGAAGGAAGAATGAAACTGTCTTAATAGATAAAGACATACTAGATTGATACACAACTTCAAGAGTCATCACAAGGATAGCTTGGGGACCTGACCAAGTGTTTGAATGTTAATAAATAAGGTATCATTTCCTTTAAAGAATCTCTAACTCAAATAAGAGATTTCTCCAAATATGACAATGGCTATAACGCCTCTATTTTTTTTTTAGTACATATAGAACACACGTTTATCCTTCAAATTGACAACCTGTCTTTAGAATTATGACAACAAATAGTTTTGAGGGGATAATAGACAAATCACCTGTGACAATCACAGTGAAAATTATAAGAGATATTTCTCATAGCTTCTGTTTTACTTCTTCATGGGAAGTGGCCTCTACCGCTGATCTGACACAGGAAATTAACACACAGTAGGAACTGTGGGAAATACAGAGCCTTGAACCATCCCGAGACTATCACTGTGCCTTGTCTCTACAGAACTGTATCTAACATCACTTACAGGAATTTGCCGAAAGAAAATTCTATTTGCCTTAGAACTGTAAGTCAAGGGGGAAACTAATCAAGTGCTGAAGGGCCCCAGTCATTCCTGCAGTCGCACCTCTGCAACATGAGGTCAGAAAACATGTCTGGCTTACTGAGCTCAAAGGTACAATTCTCTCACTGGTTCACCGTGACCGGAAAAGATATTCGGGCAAATAGTCACTCACCATAGACCTCATTAAATTAGGTTCATTTTTAAGCATTTAACCACACACCTTTTTCACTGCCAGCAGTTGTCAAGTGACTTTCTTTTCTTTTTTTTTTTTTCTGGATTTTAAGGGATTAGCAGTTTATAGTATAAAATGCCACATTGCACCACACTGCGACTTCAGGAGTTAAAGGCATAAATAGCACCCAAAGTTCCTAGCGTGTAGGACGGCCATTGCTTTCTATCAACAATGTTTGTTTTCTATGTGTTTTTTTCACTAAATTCACGATTTTAACAAGTGTTGCAAACTCTTATGTTACTACCCTCCAGGAGCTAGAAAGTTCATAGTATCAAAATGAGATTAATTTACCTTTTAGCTTCTCTATGAAGTTGTCCAATTTACATATGAATTTTTCACTATGCCAAGTTAAAAAAAAATCACTCATTTGAGAACAGAGAGTCTATAAGCTAAGATAGTAAAAGACCTCCTACGTGTCTATGTGACCCGGGAAAGAAGAATAACAAACCGATTTTGGCAAAAGTAAATTCTGACAGATACACAAAATTCACCTGCATCTCTCCATAAAGCAATAAATCATTTCTCTCACTGCGCTTACCATACGGACACACTAATAATCAAAGAAATGGAAGCACAGCTGATCAGTAACTACGCAGCGGCTCCGAAGGGGCAGCCACTCTATCACACATTTCAACTAAACCCAGTGACAGTTGCTTACTCGATACGGTCTGTTTGTGTATGTGTGCTTACCTTATCACCTGAGAAAAATGATATCCCATGCACATAGAAACAGCACAGCGCTTTGTATAAGACACAGATGGGAGGATACGAACTGAGCTCCTCATCTGGATGTCGGAAGTCACCCCACATTCCAGACAATTTCACATTATATACTTACACCTGTTCCTCTTCTCGTACCTGGTGACATATTTCATGAACAATGACCATGGTGACATCCAGCAAATAAGAAATAGATGACACACTGGGATCCAGCAGTATTCTTTGTTCCACAAAAATACTCAGTCCCCAGTTCTCCATAGCAGCATAAGGATGCTTAGGCACAGCTAAAAGATCTAGAAATAAAATGAGAGAGTTCCAAAGGTTTTTAACGACACTGGATCTGAAATTTCACAACTTAAAAAGTTCAGAAATCCTAATAGAAAGGAGTACATGTTCTTTACGACTTTGTCTTATATTAAACACCGAGGCATGTCTATGTGACAGTAGAAATATAGGCTATCTCCATCGATGACGGTCATACTCGTTCATCACACTTCATATCAGGCCCAACACTCCAGGAAGCTGGAAGTATTCGCAACATTATTGATGAGCCCATCCTAATAAGTTTCAGAAAAGGCAAAGAAACCAAATACAGGAGGAACCGAGAGTCAAAGGCACTGTGCCTTCTAATGAAAATATATTCTTTCAGCCCAGTGCAGAAACGAGTGTGTGATCACTTCGTCTCAACCCTATCTCAACGAAAACACTGCAAACTAGTTTTAAGATGTGATGTCATTCATTTTCTAATTTCTTAAACTCCAGTACATTCTTTTGCTCCTGCTAAAATAAAATGCTACATTTAATCTTAGCTTATAGAGAAAACCATGACAGTGGATGCAGTTGCAAAGAAAGAATAGAGGGGACCCATGGGCTTCGGTCTGGGCTTGCCACCATCAACTACAGACGTGACATCAGTAAATCACTTAGGTTCTCAGGACCACAATTCCCTCAGCTATAAAGTAAAGTTATTGGCCTTTTCTTTAAAATGCCTTCCAGCTCGAAAAATCCATGATTAGACGGGTCTAAAAATATGTGCTTATTTTGAAAGGTCGTCAAGGTATTATCAACTTCTGATTATGGTGAACAAAGAAGTAGACATTTCACTCACTCCCCCTGCAATGGTAAATAAAATATTTTAAAAGAACACTAATCCCCAGGCTCAAAAAATAAACCTCTCAGTGGCTCAGGGATGGAACCCAAATGCAACATGGTTGTTATGTGAAGCTGTGGACTTGCTGGTATCTGGCTCCAAATGCAGCACTAATAGCTAGGGTTTGGCTCTGGCCGGAAACACTAGGGTCAAAAAGACCAATGCCAGGTTAACTGCTTGATGCCAAGGGATGAGGTAAGGCATGCACACAGAGAGTAGAAAATGGCTGGTGCTCACTGTGTTCTGAAAGTGGCAGCAAGGGCCAAGAAGGATTTGAACCATGGCTCCTATACATCTGTTCTTAATCATAATAAACATCCTCACTCCAAAATGGAAATTCATCTCAGTAATGGAGTAATGTATTCCAAGGCTACCAGCAAATTGCATGACAATGTTCAGTATAGTATTGTTTCTAAAAGTAAAATGGGAATTTATATGCCTTTTCACCAAAATGACACTTTTATATCAAACAAGGTATAAAAGTATTTCATAAAGGAATACAATATAGCAATTAAAATCAGCAATCTTCCCACTGGGTTCTGTCATTACAGCTATCAACACAGACAATCTGAAGAACATAACAATAAAGAGAGAAGGTATAAGATGACCCCATTCTCATTAGAAACATTCAAAATAACACTGCCTAGTGTATACAGATCTTCTTACATGTAGGACAGACAAAGATAACAAGAGAAATATCCATGCATACACACACAGAAACTGATAATAACTTCAAGTTCATGGTTGCTACTAAGGAGAAAGGAAAAGACTACAGGACAGCCACACGATGAATTAATGTCTGTCTTCATATCAGTGTTTTAAAGCTGGTGGTGAGTACATTGATATTAGCATAATAGTATTCATCCTATTATGTATGCTTTAAATATTTCACAACAAACCATTGAATCGATTGGTTTTAGCATCCAATTGATTTTTGTTTAATTTTTGAATTCACAAATATCTTTTCAGTATTGGTGATGTTTTGAAATCTGAAATATGTATTAAAGTGAGTCAAACATATCTCTTCTAATTCTACTACATATTAAACTCATAATGAAGGCATGACAACTGTAACATAGAAAAATTTAATATTTAAAATATTATATGAGAAGAGAAATGTATCTGTTCAGGAGATTCTTGAAAATGTTATTTATTGGGTTGGGCTTCAAATGGTGACTAGGATTTTAGTAGGTATGTGGTTTAATCTGCTCATTCATAGGATTTTAATTTACAAAAAGAAGTCATATATGCAAGCACGAAGAATTGCCATCCAGTAAATATTGTTTGGGGCTGCCTTTCAAGCTAGTTTCTATCTGCATGGTGGTGCTTATGTATGGAGAAGTTTAGCTAAGAAGTAGGAAGTGAAAAAAAGAAATGTACTGGCTAGTACATGCTAGGAAATATATTCCAATATAAACAATACAGGATGAATGAGTAGGGAAGGTGTGGGCAAAGCATCCCTCTCCAATATAATCGCCCTTACCTGGCATGTGAGTAATATTAAAAGCCAGTTTATTTGAAGACCTATGCAAGTGTATCTTGAAGGAGTATAGTAAATACTGCAGTGCTCAGGTATGGAAGTAACAAATATTTTGGATAAACAAAGAGGAGGCTGATGGGTTGGCACCATATAATAAGGGAGATGTAGGCCACAGAACTAGTACACAGGTAATTCACCCACTTTACATAATTAAAGACATTGTCTACGTATTAATAAACTAGATAACAGACCCACAATGTATTGATGTTACCTGCTATTAGTACATGGTTAAAACCATAGCTGTCCCAGAATCAGGAACTCATGGAAACAGATGGACCTATATACAATTATTTTCCAGGAAGAGTCCTTTTGCATGAAGAGCCAATTCTGAATCCTATAGATCTTTGTGAGCAATGTAGAGCCTGGTCCTCACTCACAGCTGAGTGAGCAGATCACATAGGGCTGAATAGGTGCAAAGACCTGGAAAGAAGTCTGCAAACATATGACTCAGAGATGTCATGTAGAAGTCTGTGATCAAAGGGAAAATGCACTGAAGGGCAGTTTGTGGATTACAAATGACTATTAAGCAGTATAAACACAGATACACCTGAAAAAGCACTTATCACAAAAGGATAAAGAGCCAGGTTCCATTCCTACAACCTTTGATGGTACATGCTTTTAATCCAGCACTGGTAGGCAGAGTCAAGTGGCTTCCTAAGGCCCCCTGACTAACCTGCCCACAGTGACTTCCAGAACACAGTGAGAAACCCTATCTGAAAGGACAAGGTGTATGATTCCTGAAGAGTGACGCCTAAAAATAGCAGACCTCTGGCCTCTATGTGTACTGACATATACTTCCTACACATGATACCTACACCAATATGTATATTCTTACACACACACACAAACACACACACACTTAAAAACAAGTATGTTGAGGGAGCACCTGTTGAGTGGTACAGTTTTAAGTCCTTGATAGCATATGGCTTTACATTAGCATCCAGAAGTATGAAGACACCAAAGTCTGGACAACAGTGTCATAGATAAACCAAGCAAGAACTCTAAACAAATAAGACAAATTCAGATAAAGCACCTGCTGGGCAGGGTTTAACATGGTGAGTAGAAATGGATAACTTATTAGTTACAGACATAAGAAAATATCAGCCACAGAGGAGGTAAAAGAAAGGGAAAGTGAACATTCTCAGATTTGGTACCACACATATAGTAACCGCACTTACAACATAATAGAGAATTGGGGTCAAATAACTTTGGAAAAGCATATTGCAATAGCTCTTCATAAACTAAGGCAACTCAGAGGATAATCTTATAATTGAAGAATATATCCATTACATAGATATCCACACAAAGGCATGTGGATACATATTCTCATGAAAACTGAATTTTCAGCACCTAAAAATTGGGCATAACCCAAATACCCATCAACAGGCAAAGAATAAAATGAGATAAAGCATGCAACAAAGTACTGATCACGAGTAACCAAAATAGATGAACTATTGGGACAGAATACAGCATGAGCGAGCCCCAAAATAGTGTATTGATTTTCTTTGTTAAATTAAAGAAACGCATGCTATATAATTAACCTTATTTCTGTAAAATTCCTAGAAATTTAAGCCAATCTGTAGTAATGAAGATCAGTGAGTGACTGGGGACAAATATAGAAGCCAATACAGCATGATGCTAGGAGTTATTTTGGAGTCAGAGTCACATTATGCTGATGGTTATGTACACATTAAAGCATCAAGTCGCTCACAGAATATACCCATGTGGTATAACTCAGTGAAACTACTTTGTAAAGGGTGTTAGTGACTAAAGCAGTATTATGCTTATTTGAGGCATATAAGGCTCACTTATATTGAATTAAGTTACTTTAATGTTGCAAAGTAATGAGACTATATTCATTAAAATATGCATCCATGACTTTTTAGTATGCCTCCCAAAGAAAGAAAGCTCACCTTTCAGGATATAATTATAAATAAAAATTCAAAGAAAGTGTTAGATGAAGTTATACATAGTGCTCTTCCAAATAGCACTATCATCTAGAAAACTATTGTTAACAGAGGGGGGAGATCATATATTAAAGAATGTGGTGGCTTAAATAAATACAAAAGTCTATCACAGCCCATTCCCTTCCTCCTGACTCTGATATGTAACAGTGCCTCTGCTATGCCAGCACTAGGCTAAAATGGCTCTGAGGGAAGCCACAACATCTTAGACATGCTCCTCAAATTTTGTTTGAATCTACCATTTCTGAGAACTGCTTTGTTGATTCATAGAAAACAGCAAGAAGCTCATGTTTTCTCCTGTTCCTCGGGCTGACTCCTCTTACTGTTTCTTTAGTTTGGGGTTTTTGGTTTTGTCTCTTCTTTCTTTTCTTTCTTTTTTGTTACTCTCTTGTCATTGTGACTTTGGGAAAAAAAGAAAACTTCTCAGAATCTTCACTTAGAGTCTCTGTGCAAGATGTTCGTGTGCTTGAGTGTCATCGTGGCCTCACTCAAACTCTGCTCACTTTAAATTTCATTATACTCAATCCATAACTCACGTTATTGTAAAAAGCTCCCCTGCTGTGATTTTTAGAGAAGAATAATTTAGAAATTATTAACTCATGAAGACTCTGCCTTTATCAATCGATTACTGACAAGTGA